AAAAAAAAAATCAAGGTGAAACTGTTTTATCTCCAGCTGAGGTTTTGATCTTGCTGGGTCACAAGTATCAGCCAGGCCTAATTTAACTTAAATAGGAGACCACTTATGGAAAAGTACAGATTTTCTCTTAGGAAAGGCTTCTTTGTGTCTGTTCAGTCTGTTCAAAGGGGCTCTTGGAGTGTCTGGTTTCAGACCTACTCTGGTAACTCACCTTTGGTATTAGGAGACCTTCTAACCTGGTTTTCTTGTAGCCCACGGCCACAAGATCATAAGTTATAATCCATACACCAGGTTCATCGTATTATCCAGCCACTTCCTGAGCGGTCCCTTTCTCATCAGTCTCTGCAGGCTGACCACAGTGTATGGAGCAAGCAGAACACCTTTGTGTAACCCCATGGCGAGCCCCCCATCCACAGGAAGGTGGCTGGGCTCAGCCCTGCACGGGAGAGCTGTGCCCGGCCTTCCTGGCAGGGCTGTGGCTGCTGCCTCACCGGGCTTGTGCAGGACACACAGTTGGTTGCCTGGGCACATGGCACTGGGAGTCTGGTGTTACATTGCCCTGGATTTTACATGACTGGTTTAGCAGCCTGCTGGTTTCATGTGTAGTTCGATTAGATTCAGTAAAAGAGCTCTTTTAATCAGTGAGGCTCAGTCAAGTTGTAGCCTAGTAATTCCCAACAATTAAAGTAAAACCTGTCTCTACAAGCAGTGGGTGCTTTATCTTGACACACTTCTTTGACTCAATATTTTTATTGTTTTTTAAATCACTTTTCTGCACATGCAGAAACACTTGGGTGGTGTTCTGTGTGTGCAGAAAAAATTACAGCCCTGTATGCACAGAGTAGGTTGTACCTACACCTAATTCAGATCATTGATCAGGATGTGATGTGTGATGGATTTGTGGTGCCTCTCCACGGATCCCTCCCCCAGTGAAATGTAGCTCCTTGTGAAAAGGTTTGGTTTTTTTAAAAAACAAACATCAAAACACAGGGACTGTTTAGTTTCCATGGGGAAGGATGCTGTTGACTCAGGATTAGGTAAACGGACGCTGATGTTGATTACCTCAGTGGAAAAAAAACTTCCTCAGCGTAGTTCACAGTGTGTGTCTCACCTGTAAGAGCTCCAGGCTGTTAAATGCAGGCAGGCTTTAGCCACCCAGCAGTACAGAAATAACAACCAAAAGCTCCGTTCCAGTTATTAGCACTTAAGAGTTACATGAACCTTCAAACCTTCAGCAGGTCTGGAGATGCAGCTGGGGAAGCTCTGTTCCCACACCTAAGGAGTTTTAGAGGATTTCTGACTTCAGTAGTGCTGGCTCCTGTTCTGCTGCTGTGCAAACAGATAGGTGGTTGACCCAGGTTAGCTAGGAATCCTTCACCTAATTGCTGCTTTTATTTCATGAACGAGCTGTATGCTTTTCAAAGAAGCTGTCACGCTGTAGGGATTTCATGTTCCCATGGCAATGGGAGTGGCAGTCACAGCAGAAGGAAAGATTAGAAGCATTTTGCAGGTTTCAGAACGGGGCTGGGAGCTGGGAAGGATCTTGCATAGAGGATAGGTTTGGCTAAATCCTTAGCTGTCTTTGGAAAGAGATGGGAAACCCATTATGCTTAACTATGAGAAATCAGAGCCTCAATCGATCCTTGACTGCTAATTTTGCTCAGAGAGGCTTATCTTAAACAAGTGTCTCTTTATAACGGCGAAACATATTTGGAAGAGCTCCAGGGCCCCTCAAGAAGGGGGAAACTTCCCAGCTGTTGCTGTTTTCCTGGGGAACCAGCACATCCAGGCTATGTGGCCCTCGCTGCGGGGTTTATTCCAAGAGATCTGCTTTCTTCAGTGTGACGCATTTAAAAGTGCAGTGCTGAATTTGCAGATCTCCTTCAGCCCAGGGGAAGGTAATCCGGGCTGCACAGCTTTAAACCTGAAGCACACTGGAGTTGTCTGAGCAGCTCTGTGAGAAGCTGAGTGGTGGTAGTTGAGCTGTAATGGGCTCCCTCATCGGTTTTGGGTTGGTGGTTGTTTTTTCACTTCACAGGCTGGAGGGGAAGAGGACAAACCACAGGAAAACTTGATACATTTCACACACTTTAAGAATAAACCAGTTACGCACATTTCTGGGAACATTCAGGTAGCACGTTTTTAGATGTTAAGGCAACTGCCTGTAATTTACAGCTACTGAAGAGGTGCAGCAGAGCTGTGTGGTTTCCCTGCCCGCTGTGTCAAAAGTGTAAATACCTCTGGAGGGACAAATGCTTCAGACACTTGAAATCAGATGGTGCCGTTGTGCTGATTGAAATCAGAGCTGCTTCCCAAGTGTAAAAGCTTTGTGGAACTGCATTACAGTTACATCTGTAATTTTAAGCTTGCCAAACGAGTCGCAGAGGAACAAGAGGTGGGGCTTGTTATAAACACCCATAACGAAGCGATACCAAGTGTGAGAAAACGGCACTGATGGATGAAGCTTTTAGCTTTCTGTGCTTGGGAGATGACAAGTGTATTTCCTGTGGTTTCTAACTCCCTGTTTAATAATCTACTTAAAATGACTTTATAGACTTATCATTGATTTTTTTCTTCTAACAAGCTGAGAAATAAGAGTGGAGCTGCCATCCGTTCTCCCAGTTGTTGACCCAGGTGACAGTCATGTCCACTTCTAAAACGTTCAGAGTTCACATTAACCTGAGCAATGCCTTGTTTCGTCTGAGCAACCACATCCTGCAGGTTCTGCTTCCAAAAGTAACCTGTGTGACCTGTCTGCCCACGAGGAATTCTTGGTCATGGGTCTCTGTGTCTTAAAGCCAAGAATCGTCCTTGCTCCTTACCTCCAGTCCCTGAATTGACCTCCTGTGCCATGATCAAGTGTGATGCTGTCATCCCCCTGCTGCTGAGAGGGGCTCAGGGAGAACCCACGCTCGTGAGAGCTCCGTGGTGCTATTTTTAGTTGCTTCATTTTCTTTCTGTTATAGAAATAGTTATTAGTGTCTTTTTGTTCTCGTTCAGAAGGCTTGCTTACCCTCTCCCTTTACCCTGCTGAGAGACTGGAATAGCTTCAGCTTTCTGAAACATTGAAGTCTTGCTCAAAATTTGGCAAAGCATAATACAAGATTAATTATTATAACAATTACTATTAATTATAAATGAACTTCTTCACAAAGTGGTTACACTTCAGTGCTAATTTTTCTTCCACAAGTTGATGTGAATTAAACTGCGAATTAAACCTTGGTCTTGTGAACGTGTAATGTGAGCATCTGTGATAGGTCCTAGGTAATACGTGACTTAAGGGAAAGGAAGGCTAGCTCTTAGTGTTCTTCTAGGAAACCTGCAGGGATGCTGTCAAGCCTTAACTTGTTCATGGTGTTGGATTAGGAACGTAAGTCTTCCTTGAGGATGCTTGCTTCGATTCGTGGATCCCTGGTGTTCATTCTTCCCTTCTTCTTCATCTGCTTCACCTCCTTTAAGGCCATTCTCATTCTTCTGTGTTTTCTTGCATTCAGTTCACCAAATTCAATGACCAGGACGTTTGCTCTAGCTTGTGTTTGGTGAGAATGCGGCTACGTAGAAACCAGGTGTCTGCTGCTCTGATGCAAGCTGGCTTATGCTGCATCTATTCAGAGTGGCTACAACTTATGCTTGCCTTTTTTCCTTACCGTTTTTATCGGTAACACCTAAAGTCACTGCTCTGATGCAAGCTGGCTTATGCTGCATCCATTCAGAGTGGCTACAACTTATACTTGCCTTTTTTCCTTACCGTTTTTATCCGTAACACCTAAAGTCGCTCAGACTGTAAGGCTGGAGAATGTTACTGCTTGCTTCTCCTCCCACTCCTGCCCTAATTTTCCTTCGAGTTTGAAAACATTGATAAAATACTTTTTTCCCCCCTTTTTAAGTCACTTTAACAGTTTGAAATGCTTAAAAAGTTTAAAGGACAGCAGTTAACAGGTGGAGCTGGGAAGGTTTCATTCCTAGAATAATCTTGAATATTCTTTTAACTGAATACATTTCAGATAGGGAACCTTCCTTCAAGGGGGTGGCTTGGAAGTTTGCTGGCAGAGTTGCACTTAAACACGCTTCAGGGACATATAAAATTCCATTCTGTTGTAAAATGTTGCAGTTCACACGTGTGCTTTTTGTGTGAAACTTTGACTTTTGTCTCCAGAATAGGTGAGTGAATCACAGGCATCAGAATATGGCTGGACAAATATCAGAATCGGATCAGATCAAGCAGGTAAGACGCTTTGGGGATCTTTGTCACTTACAGTAAAAGGCACAGGGCATGGAGGAGGACAGGAAGTTTATCATGTGGGTTAATACTAGTCCTGCAGCAACCAAAACTTAAGCATTTGACCATCAACAGTCAGTACAGTATCTGATTTGAATACTAGCAGCATTTGGCACTGAAATCTTCGGACTGACAGTAACTTTTTCTAGTGACTTGTCCTTTCAATGCGAGTGTCACCAGATGGCCTGTGCAGCTGTGTGGAAAAAACAAACTGTAGAATTTTTTTAATACTCACTATCCAATTTTTATTTATAGTTCAAGGAGTTTCTTGGAACATACAATAAACTTACAGAAAACTGCTTCCTGGATTGCATAAAGGATTTCACTAGCAGAGAGGTTAAACAAGAAGAGGTAGGTGAATGCTTTTAATGACCCTTTGGTAGAATTGCTGTGTAGCATTCGAATTTCAGAAGCAACTTAGAATGTTCTGATGTTTCAACTAGCTAAAGAGCTACTTAGCAGTCTGTAGTCGAGTGTAGGTGCCTGGCACATAGCTTGCAAGTGAGAAGGAAGCTGAAAGAGCTTGTCTATAGTTTTGCTTCTCCAAATATGTCCAGAGGTGATGACAAAGACTTCTTTGCCCCCCAGCAGTCTGTTTACAAAAAGCAACCAACATCAAAGCCCAATGCTTTTGATGTGTTAGATCATCAGCTGCAGACAAAGTATGGGCTAGGACCTCTTGCAGTTTTCTCCTCATCATCTTTTCAGTATGTACACACAGAGGAGTCTTCCTGACCTCACTTGATGTTGGCTGCTCATTGCAGTTCTGTGTATTTCATTCTTGAGCGATCAGTGGAGGTTCTTGTGCCTCAGCTTCTGAGGGATGGTGTCTGTATGGCCATAGAAGTTGCCCACCTACAGCCCACATCTCGTTCTTTGAAGGTAGAAGCCTTCTGAAATATTTGTTTACCTACCCACGTTCCCTGCACTGTAGTGAGTCATAGAAACACCGGCCTCCAAAGCTCTGGCTGTTAAATCCGCTTCTCTGCATTGCAGGGAGCTCCATCACATCATCATCTGCAAGAAAGATTAAGCTCTTGATAAGATTAGTTGCGTGGTTTTTGCCTCTCCTGTCCTGTCGAGAGGCTGTTTCAGAATATCATAATTTTGTTGGTTAAAAGTTTAATAACCTTTGCTTGACTCTGCTGGCAAGGGGAAAAAAAACCCTAAAGTTTTCAACTAACCATTGTTTTTGAGCATTCTCTGCCTCCTTGGAGTTTAATTCCTTAGCACAGAAAAAATCATGTCTCCTTTCAGCTTTTGTTCTGCTGTGCTAAACAAAGCTCTCTTGGCTTCCCAAGCGAGATTCCTTGTCTTCATGGAAGACCACTGCAGATTCAGGAGACATGAAGGCTGTGTATGAGAATGAATATTAAATGTCTTTAGACATTCTTCAAACTAAACCTCACAATTCTCACTGCCCAGAGAGGCTGTGAACAATTGGGGCCTCATCTTGAGGCTTAACACAGAGTATGAGATGTAGTCACCCAGTCATCTATCCCTGCACATGATTGTATCTTGAGTCTCGTTAGGGGCAGTGTTTTAATTACTGTTTGAAGCCTTCTGTTTCCCTCTTCCTCCAGATGACTTGCTCAGACCACTGCCTACAGAAGTACTTAAAAATGACACAGCGGATCTCCATGAGGTTCCAGGAGTACCACATTCAGCAGAACGAAGCTCTGGCAGCTAAAGCAGGACTGCTTGGCCAGCCTCGTTAGACAAGAGCGCTCTGTTGACTTGATGAGCGGTGCCAGTGGTCACTGGGCACATTTTGGATTTTCTACTGTCAGGATGTATGTCCAGCAACGCAGGAGAGAGCTCTCAATGCTGGTCAGACAGTGGAAACCATGAAGGGTTAAACAAGAAGTCAGTCATGGTGGACTGGCAATGGAGTCTTTCTGAGGTCCTTTGCACAATCAAGTAATAGTGGTACAAACTTTTTCAGGGCCCACAGACTGGTATGTTTAAATTTCAGGGTTGGTGGGGGGGTTGTTCTTCCTTTCTGCTTCCTCTGATGCAGAGGAAAAAAAAAAAACTAAGTGTAACGTGGGAAATACATTTTTTTATTTTTTCAGGGCCCACAGACTGGTATGTTTAAATTTCAGGGTTGGTGGGGGGGTTGTTCTTCCTTTCTGCTAGGACTGATTCAGAGGAAAAAAAAAACCTAAGTGTAATGTGGGAAATACATTTTTTTTTATTTAATTAAAGTAAAATAAATGAACTGTGTGCTCGTACTTATGTTCTTTCCAAAGATACATTTTTAGGACACTGCTTGAGAGCAGTGTTTTGTTTGCTTGCTCTCGTTGTTCCTCAGCTGCTACAGAGTTCTGTTCATTCATTGCTGCTTTAAGTTGCTGATAGGTAACAGAGTTGGTGACTTTGCTTCAGCAGCTGGGGACTTGTGAATGTGTCATTTCTTGTAATTTGGGAAGACCTTCTGCTGAGCCACCCTCACAGGGCCCTGTCAGTGTCTGACTCTCCCAGAGATCATCAAGCCAAGGGTGGTTACAAAGAGCAGTTAACTGCTGTAACTCATGAGTCCAGGTAGGCAGGGCTGCTCTGCCAGCGTGTCCCTGGGTTGTGTTTGCCTCATTTACAAGGGATGGCAGCGTGGCACTAGCAGCACCTCGTGCCCAAGGCAGCTTCTAGGCATTCCTTGTTTCCTCTGGGGAGCCCCAAGGTCCTTCAAACCCAGCTTCCTCTGATGCAAGCATGATGCACGCCAAGCACTGAGCCTGCTGGTGGGTTTCTCCTTTAATCGGGTGAATGCCAACAGAAAGTACAAGGTATGCAGAAAAGAGATGTCTTTTTTTTGCTGCTGGGTGAGCACAGAGAGGTCTGTGGAAGCTGCTCTAAACCAAAACCACAACGTAAGAAAAAAACAGCACTCCTTTGGAAGGATCTTTATAGGTGAAATCCTGCAGATTGTCAGTGCAGCAGAATGACAGCTAACAGGCACATTTTACCCTAGTTCTAACTGATAAAATACAGAACCAAAAGGAACTGAACACCAGGATGGCCGTATCGATTTGAGATCTCGGGCAATGAAAGAAAGCTCTTTCATGTCAGCTGCCAGGTTCTGGTGTTGAGTAGAAGGGCAACAATAAGGAACAGAAAGAGCAGGAAGCCTGCCCATGTCCTTTTTGTTGTTACATTCGCTGTAGCTTTTTATTTCCAGCAGCAGTTTAAAAGAAGGATTTTCTGCTTGTTTCTTTGTTGTTTTTTCTTCACTATGCAAACTCTCAGCTGTCCAGGCTGTGGTACAGCTGCCACTTGAGCTGGACGTGACTTTGCTGCTGTTTAGAGCCACCTCAGCCTTCCACAGAAATCTGTTCCTGTGCCTTTCAAAGGTGCAAGAAACAAGTAAGTTCCCTCAGCCTCGTCTCCGTGTGTTTTGTACTAGCCACATCGCAGCTCTTTCCTGCGTAGCCCATGCCTTGTTACCTTGGAGATGGCTGAGAGCTAGCTCCAAAATAGTAAAGGCTAAAAAAGAGCCCAAATAAGGCAGCAAGCCTCTGCTGTTTTTGGTTTTTTCAAAGGAATAACTGGCTGGTAATGTTGATTGATTGCGGCAATCAGGCCACAAATGTTACAGCCAATTAGAAATAATAGACCCATAGTAAAGATTTAAGGGTTTATCTAAAGCAGTCGTTTTGTTAAACATTTGAAAGTAATGCATGTTTGAAATTATCCCATCTTCCACTGTATCTTAATGTGCAAAGACAACAGTTCCTCGGAAAAGTGCAGAGTTCAGGTCCCAGGGCTGGAAGATGTTCCTGTCACCTGGGCAGAGCTGCTTGGCGCTTCAGTGACGGGGGTGGGGGCACAAAAATAAATCCGTTTTCCCTCATGTTTCAGTGTCTGGGGATTTGGGGTTAGGAGGATGTTTAAGTATTGGTTGAAAGCCATTTACTGTACTAAAGGTTAAGCAAGTATTGGTGGGACTTAGTTAATAACTTACTCAGGAACTTTCAGGTTCCCTAGTTCCTCCTTACTCCAGTTATAAAGCCACCTTAACCCACTGTTACCCAGGGAAAACATGGATTCTTAAGAACTAATTAGGTGCCACATCCCCCTGCCGCTCCCCATGCTCACTAAAATAGGTGGGATGAACAGTGCTGCTGGAAGTGGGCACATTGAGCGGGTATCTGCTACCTTGGAACAAAGCTGGCCAGACTGAAAGCTCTTGACTTCCACAGGAGCAAGGTTTTTGTGGCAACTGTAGCTTGTTTCTGGCGGTCTTGTTAATTATGACTATTTCAAAGCTAACGAGTGGAAATGGGTTGCAATGCTACTGCACGAAGATGCAGGTAAGGCTCTGGCCTTAAGTCACTGGCTCGATCTTTTGGAGCTCTATTTCACTCAGTAAAAATGTTGCAGTCTTTCCTCATCTTTCAATCCAGGGTCTGATTGAAGACAGATGATACAAATATATAGTGTATCCATGTCACTAAAGCATCCAGGTGGCGCAGAAAGCAGTGAAAACTTACTTAAAAGGTTAACTTGCTTAGCAGGGCCTTGACTTCCCTCTCCTTCCTGGGTGTGTTAGCATGTCCTCATGGCTGGCTCCAATCGTGGAATTTAGAAAATAGCACCGTGTAAGATTTTTGTTAACAGCACTTGTGGGATGAGAACGACCCATGACACAAAGTGTTTCAGTGCCTCTCACACGTGTTTTATCAGCGTGGATTAGCAAAATGGGAACACAGCCTAGTCTCTGGTTGCTAACTGGAAGGCAAGAGAAGGTAAGATAGGGCGTGTGGAGAGCTGGTGAATCACCTTGATGAGGTGGATTAGGTTAAGTGCAGGAATGAAACCAGTTCTGATGGAAGGAGGAGTGAAGGGTGAAAAACTGAGTGCTGCTGAGAAAGCTGGGGGAAATAAAGGGCCAGAGAGGAGAGAAGGCAACAGCAGTGCAGCCTGCCAAAAAACAGGCTTGATGAGACTGGGCTAGTGAACAGACACTCATTTGGAGGTGACATTCATCACAGCAAAGACAGGAACACAGATCCTTTCTGCTGAAATGAGTGTCTGAACCAAAAGGCTAAAAAAGCATGCAATTACGAGTCAGCCCACAGAAAACAGAACAATTTCGACAGGAAGGGTCAAATGAGAGCCGTGCTCCAGAATGCCCTGTACATCAGCAGCACTGGCAGAGCGATCAGATCAGTCATCTGGAAGATTATAATAGAGGTTCCTTGAATGCTCTCAAGGATAGGAGCAAAGTCCTAATCTTTGTAACCTCCCTGCTGAGAGCTTCAACTACTGAGCTCTCATCTGGACAGCAAGGAAAGATGCGACTGAAATCTTCTGTAAGGAGTGCTGAGGACTGGAGTTTAAACAACAGCTCTTTTTTCAGCATTTTCTGTCAGCTAGGTTAGGAAGTCAGCACATAGCACTTGAGGATTAAAACTGTGGGAAGTCTGTTAAGCTCATCTCCAAAAAATGAGTCTGGCCCAAACTCTAAAACCTGTAAAAGCAATTAGAGCTTGTGACACCGAAACTTGTATTGTGCTTACACCTTGAGTTTCAAGAAGACATCATTGCAAGAACTCTAAATAAAGTTACAATTCTGCTAAATACTGTAATTATTTTACATTAGGATTTACTTTAACTTCATGCTCCTTAGTATTTTGGCGTTGGGCTCTTTCTGTAAGCACAACAGAGAGCATTCAACAATCAAGCTTTAGTAGTTCAGGACTGGAAAATGATGGTCAAGTCTGTTTTCCCAAGATTTCTCACATACAGAAACAGATGTAACTGAAAAATATATGAAAGACCCTAAATCACTCTTTGAAAACTCCAAATGTCTACGCTTACACAGACCATGGCTGGTTAAAATTTTTCATACTGTAACTCACTTTAATCAGAGGGAAAGTGAGACTGCTGAGGGAGCTGGGCTTGCTGTGTAAATATTTAAGGTCGTATACTTAACATATCACCGTTTGTTTATGTAACGCAAAGGGGAGCTTATCTAAATTTCAAATAATCAAAGTAGAAATCCAGCGGGTGGCTATTTCTGTACTTCACAGCTCGTACCCTTACTAGGACATGGAATTAGGGACCCTCTTCTGCCCAAGCACGCGTTGAATTTCTGTGGGTGCTGCTGCCCCAGTGACCCTCCAGGAACTGAGTTATGGCTAGGAAGAGGGTTTCAAGCCTTCTCCTGTGGGTAGGAAAGGGCTGTTGGCCGCCTCTTCTGCCGTGTTTGCTTAGATCTTGGGGAGAAAGTTCCTCTGCCACAGGGGGGGATGCAGATCCCCCTGGGGATGGTGGTGGGGCCTTAGGAGAAGAGCTGTGGGACTTCAGTCCTGCTGCCCTGGGGCCCACTGGCCCTCACAGCCCTTCGCGGGGATCCCGTGGAGCGCAGGGCTGCC